AGGGAAGACTTTCTCTGAGCTGAGGGCTTGCTGATTCCTATAACTATGTGGTTGCTGAACCAGAGGACATCCTCTCTGAACCGTCTTCCTGGCCCTGTTCCATTCCCAACACAACATCCCCACCCAGGACCCTGATGTTGGGCTCCCCCCAGCCCACAGCAAGCATGTTCATATTTCTGGGAAAAATATACCCAGCAGGTGGAAGTTTAGTACTATTTTTACTATTGCTGGTACAGTGACTGTAAAGAGCATGATAATTGATTATCTGGGACAACAGAAATGCACAGGAACTAGAATTTCAAGGATTAGGGTCTCCCTGAGGATTTCCTTCGAGTTTCAGTGAAAGGAGAGATAACCTTTGTGGTGGAAACGGAAACAGAGCTTTCAGTTCCCATCTGCAGCCAGCCTCTGGAGACAATAGTATTAAGGGTGATGTGAATTTCCTCTGTTCATCGCCACGGGACAGGAGCCCCGATGCAATTATCTGCACTTCTATAGCAACGCTATTCAGCTCCTTGCAGCTTATTCTCTGTCCTACCAGAGTCATTCAGCTAATGCCTGCTGCCTTTAACATATCTGGAGGTTCCATTCCCGTATTTCATCTGTTTAAAAGGACATTTATGGAAATTAGGTGGCAATTTTATCCCAAGTAAGCAGACTAATATTCTGTCACTATGCCTTACTCAAGTGACTGTTGCTCTTAATGTTAGGTGGTTTTGGTTAAGTGGCATTAGAGTTTTGTGGACTAAGCAGTAGGATTTTGTTGCAAATGCATTGTCCCATTTTAGTAGAAACTTTGCATTAACAAGTTCCATCTTAATAAATTATTTGGTTCAACCTGCCTTGTGACTTATACTATCGTAAGATCCTGCCCTTAATATTAAAATGTAAGCATAGATTTCCTCTCCCAGGGCTAAAGCTGCATAAAAAGACTTGCACTGAAGCTAAGAAATCCTCTACCTGGATCAAGATTAATTTTTCTCTGAGAATAAGGAGAAACAAATATCCACATATATTTGGAGAGGAGGAAATTCTGCTGTAGATTGTTCTTCCTCCGTTGTGTTAAAAAAAGGAATCTTGACTGAATATGTAGTCTGTTTCCAAACTATTGGCATCTTTCACAAATATAGGCAGGCTGGCTTAGGAACAAATAGCAGTTTCTGTAGCCAAAGATAGTTGTCATCATGCACTTATTAGTGAGTACACATATCTCTGAACATCAAATGCTGTGCTATTTTCAGAGAGATCCTTTCAGATCCTGTTTTCTGGTTTGTTTTTTTTTTTTTTTTTAATTTTTTTTCCTTAGCCTTCTGCCATTTTCTTTCAAAGCTCAGCAGTAGAAAGCAGAGAAAAAAGGGACCTAAGAAAGTAGATGCTCTCATCTGTCCAGCTTCCCCACATCAGGAGCTACTCCATGCGTGTCATTCCTGGCAGATGTTTGCCTAATCTGCTCTTAAAAAACTCCAATGATGGGGCTTTGACAGTCTCCTTAGGCAATCTGCTCCAGTGCTTTGCTCTACCTGTCATTAAGAAGGGCTTTCTGATACCTAACCTGCAATTAAAGGCCATGATTTCCCACACAGCCCATCATCAGGCTGACCTTACAGCCAAACCACCTCCACCAAATCAGCTGCAGTTTCCTCACTAGATCCTCTTTGCCAGCACCACTCCTTGGGCTACTCTGGCAGTAGTAGTGAGGTGGTGTGTGTGTGTGTGGGTGTGTGTGCCACTGGTCTTGTCAAGGGTCCAGCCTGGTGTCCCCAGTGGCTGGCGATGGGCCGGTTTCCCTCTCGGATCCCATGCAGCTGACAGGAAGGTGACTGTCTACCAGTAGAGGGTATTGAATTAGGAGATTCGGTAGATCCCAGGAGAGGCACTGCCACTGTGAAGTTGCAGCAGTTTTGCTCTGATAAAACAGTAGTGCTAACCATGGTTCCAGGCCTCAGAACACGAGCTGATGCCTTTTCTTGTCCTGGAACAAAATGTGCTGTGAGAGCAGTTGTCCCATATATTACATGTGTGCAATCAATCACATCTAGCAGTTAGTATATTTGTTTTTTGATGAGTGCATTCCTATAAAGATTTTAGCAGTATGAAAGCATTAAAAAAAATAAAAATCAGAGTGATCACAGATTTGGCTTGGGTTTTTTTTGCAGTTGTTTTCTTTTGAACAATAGCATCCCATGGCAGCAAGGCCTGATGGCAAAGCTGTAGATGCCAGCTTGCTGTGAGTGAGATGCTGGGGAACTGAGGCAGTCATGAGGTGTGCAGCAGTGATTGAGAGTGGGTCAGTGTAGTCACACATGTATCGCAATATTACCATTGCAAGATAAATTCTGAGCCACTTTTTTAATATGCTTAGAGCAGTGATGAACATTGTAAAATGTTTCCTTCTGAAAATTATTTACGACTGGAAGATGGTAGTAATGAATTAATGGAAAGATACTGGAGAATTAGTCTTGACTGTTCACAATAGGTATTTTTTACAATGGAAACCAGCTAGCTAAATTAGGTATATTTCTGCTGCCTGAACAAATTATGGCAGTATGTAGCTAAACAGGTTTTGAGACTAGGAAATTTTAGCAACATCCAAAATTAAATAAAGCAAAATTTAGATCAGTAGGAACAGGAGTATGTTGCTGTCAGCAGGGGTCAATAACCTTTTTGTAACTGGCTATTTTGGTGAGCAGGTCAAGTTCAGTGGGGTTTGTCTCTATATTTTGACAGATGCACTCCAAACACCCTGATATCCATTTCATTTTACAAGGTGTGTTCATGCACCAAGACGACACTCCAGAGGGTCACTGGCAGGTTACAATGTGCCAGCCATCACATGCACAATGTATTGCATGGTGCCAAGATAAAATTTCAGGGGTCTGGGGGCACCAACAGTGTTTAGAACTCCCCACAATACCTGTGCCCCACCAGTATCTCCCTAGCTGTCCCTCACTGATCATCCCATTGGCATCTGTTTTCCCGAGCTGACAGGTCTGTTTCTATTTGTGCAAGGCATTTTTAAGTCATTCATCCCCTGGTTGTCTTCTAGATAACCTGGAAGAGCTTCAGTGAGTTGCCCATATTCCTTCAAGGAGGAAAGGACAAAATTTATTTTCAAAATGTTGAGAATTTTGAGGTGGTTTTTTTTTTTAGAAAGCCGGGTTAGATTTGAACTTTATATTCCACACAGTATGGAGGTAGATTTATTGTATAAGAGAGCTTTTAGTTTCAAACTAATAATTGGAAGAATACATTTAAACCTTTGTCAATATAAAAGTGACTTCAGATGCTCAGGAATCCTTCTTGTGGTTTTCAAGGAAAATTTTAAACATTTTTCACCCCACAACTATTGAGGGCATTGAAGAAAATACTCAATAACTGTTAGGAAACATACAGAATACATTTGTTTTTTTTTTTTACTTTCCTGTTCTTGTAATCATCATCAATTTTTACGTACTTCCCAAAATACACCTGTGGGCAAATTTTGCACTGTTAAAAATGGCATTTTCTGTTGGGCAAACTGTGTTAACACCCCATGACTGACAAGCAGAGGCCCTAGTCAAAGCCTGCTGGAGTCAGGGGGCTTTCATTAAGGTGCAGACCCTGCATGTTTTCCTAAAAATCGCCAGTGCTGTTAGCCCACATCTCCCCTTTCCCACCCATCTCCTCGGGGAGAGGCAGAAGCCTGTTTGAAGACAAACAAGTCGCAGAGCCTGCAAGGTGTAAATATCTTTCATAAATGCCAACGCTGAAAAGCCTGAGTGCCGGGCGCGTGACACGCGGCGACAGGCAGCTCTCGCTGCGCAAGGGGCGAGCGATGTGCCAGCTCTCGCTGCCACAGGCACTGAGGTGTGCCCAGATTGCACCTGGGCATCCCTGGGCACCCCTGCCCCGGGAGCACACACGGGGCAGCAGGGGGGACGGGCGGCAGAGCTGCCTGCTCCTGACCCCGCTGCCCCTGCCCGCACCCCTCGCCCCCAATCTGGTCACCCTGCCTCTGCCCTCCTCCTCTCCCCGGCTTCTTTGGGCAGGGGCTGATTTAAATAGGTTGGCAGGGAGCCAGGAGCTCATCATTTTAATGCAGTGTAAAATGGAATGTGCATAATTATATGCAAGCCATATGTGAGGGAGACAGCTCAGCTGTGAATTTTGGGAGGCTGTGAGCGGGAGAGAGTGAACAGTCAGGAATCAGATGAGATGGAGCGGAACGGAGTGCAAGTGTCACTCAAATGAACAGTGTAATGAGCGTATTGCTGACACTCCTCCTTTCACCTGCTTCTCCCTTTTGCTTTAACTCAAAAAGCAGAAAACATAGAGACGAGAAGGGAAAAATACTATATGCAAGCAGGATTGCTAGAGGCTCTGGTAATGTCTCCATTTAAACTTCAGCTTTCTTAATTAACAGTGTAGTTACAAATAACCAGTAACTTTTAATACATCTTTGTCATTAAATATTTTGACCGCATTTGACTGAAGGATCATTGTTCTCACTCAATGATTGCTCCTTTCAAAGCTTCACTTAAACATGGAGGGGGAATCCATTTATTTGTAATAGTATTACATGTAAATTATGAATATGAAAGCTTTTATTTTTTTTTTTGGCCTTTCTGTTAAACTGAAAATACAAGTACATCATCTAAGGATTGCTTAAGCATGTCAAAAAGTTTAAATGAGTACATATGTAATGTAATCCTGAAAAATGCCATGGATTAAATTGAAACCCTGAGTTACTCAGTTTCTAGCTCAAAGATTTAATTTTGGTTTTGTCTTTTGTTGTTCTAATTATTACTCCACAGTGAATTTGCATGTTCAATCTAAGCTATGTAAGAAAACAGCATCCCAAGTTCTCATATCTAAAAGGTGTACTATTTAAAGAAACTTTTTAATAATGTTGTATTTTGGGATTCCCGTTTGTTTTAATGATCTGAGCTGTTATGCTTTTAGCTATTTTTTTCCTTCCATTATTTGTAAGTCCCTAAATAGGCCATTATATTTCCCTTCAGGCTAGAGATGAAGATGGACATGCTGAAAATTTTCCCCAGCAGCACTATGCTAAGGAAACTCCAAGACTTGCCTTCAAGAATAACTGCGAACTACTTGTAAGAATAACATACTTACAACAAGTCTAGATTGTTACTTTAGCACAGTGAAAACCGTTTTTTTTTTTTTAAAGGCTTTTGTTCATTATGACATACATTATGAAATATGATAGGTTATTTTTTTTTTTACTGTTTTAGCGTTCTAATGCTAGTTCTGCTATCTGTGAACAGTTTAAGATCTCAAATTGCTTGAAAAATATCATATATTTGATGTCAGCATGTGAATGGCCTTGTCTTGCGCTGGTAAATCAGGGAGAGCCATGCAGGGAGTGGCTGGTGATGCACGGAGAATCTCCCATCCCTTCCCCCAGAGCACCCCAAAACTTACTCTCCCATCCACCTTTTAACTCTGCCTTGTTTTTGGGTGACAGTGCTGCATTTTGTTCTGCTAACAGGCAGTCCTCCCTTCAGAGCTCGCCTGTTCCTCCCCTTCAGAACTGCATGCAACCCAAAGCATCCTTTCCTCTCCACTCCTCTCCTCTCCATTCCTCTCCTCTGCTGTGGAGAAAGAGTGAAAGCCAGGAAAGCACTTACAGGGAGCCTGGAGTGTTTACAAGCCATAAGAGAGATGATATCAGCTGTGAAAGAATCTCTGTTGCAAGGCAGGGTTAATTTGCTGTTCATTTTAGCATTTGCAGCTAGACGAGATTAAAAGCAAGCAGGAATGCCTATTATATTTCTATTAAATGAATCTGTTGGGACCTAATGTTCTTGATTAGCTTGCGAAAATTAGTGCTCCACCATGAGTTTTTCTGTTTGCCTAAAGTAAACAGAGGATGAATTGTCATACATTTAAAAGAGATTCATGCATGGCTTTCGAAAAGGGAGGTTTAGATACATCCATAGATCTCTCCCTTGCATTCCCCTTTCGTTCATCTGTACTTAAGTAAAATGTATCATTTGGCTAAATGGAAGTGTTTATGGAGAGTTAGTGCACGGGGTTTTACTTTGAAACAACATTTCTTTTTTTCTCGTTGTAACCAGAGAAGATGCGGGTGGCAGTGGAGGAGCAAGCTGTGTTTTATGTGCATTAGAGCCCATGCCCGCTCCTCCAGGAGGCGAGGCCAAGCGCGGCTCTGGGTGCCCCAGCTGCAGCAGGCACTGAAAGTCGAGCTGATGAGCAATAACCCAGTGCTGAAGTTGGCCTCCAGGTTCAGTCAGCTGGCCAGAGAAGCCCACAGCAGGAAGCAGCAGCTCAGGGCTGGTGGCCAGTCCCTGCTCCCCACACTGGCCAGAGCGCAGAGCATCTTGGCCACACCTGCACTACTGGGCCTGCGCTCTCCTACCCCACAAGTGTCCCCTGTGCTGAGCCAACCCTTGGCTGGGTAAAGACAATGCTTTTCACAGCCACAGGTGTCACTTGGAAGGTTCAGTTTGTTACCAGTATAATTGTCCCAAGCCAAAAGAAAGGTGACCTAGGAGATCTGGTCTTGGTTCCTCTTAAACACTTTGCCAAGTTCCTGGTGGTTTCAGGGTTAGCAGTGTTACATCTTAAGGAGAGGGAACTAGACAAACACAAAGAGTGGTTCCCTGGTGTACTCATAATTCCTGTGCCAAATAAATGAAGCTCTTTCTTCAAGGCCATGCTTAATTACTGTGCTGCTAATCAGGCCTGACAAACAATCACAGCACACCAAGATGCTCCCAAAGTCAGTAGGGCTCTTGGTGCTTGGAGAAACTTAGTAATAGAGACAATATGGATATAAGTAATGTAATATTTCCATTGAAAATCTGCTTCATATTTAGTGCAAGCCATCAATGAACCAATTAACCCACTTTGTGCTATTAAAATCAAGCATTCTTTTAATGCCCAGTTGCTTATTCCTCTATTAATATGCATTTAAGATTTTGCTTTATTATATCACCACTTTGTCTGGCAAAAGCTCAAGTCATCAAAGTTAGTCTTTCATGTGCTTTTTTGGACAAGTTTCAATTCTTGTTTAAGGAAGTAATAAAAGCAATTTGTTATAGTTTTATTTTTCCTATGCTATTGGAAACAAAATTGGCAGGGATGTACTCAATTTGTATGCAGAAAAAAATAGCAGGCAAATAATGAATATGTACCTCTGCTATCTTTAAAGATGTATTTTAGGAACTTTCAGTGAAAATATGATGTTGAGCCTAGGTGTGGGTGGTGGGGGAGCTAGTGTTATTTGTTGAAAGTTCTATGTGTTTCACAGAGAGGTAGTGTTATTCCTTCTACATTTTACTTTATGGAAACAATGCTATATTAAAATGTGCTCAAATTTCAAAAGTTAAATTCACCAGAACTGGCCATCAAGAAACCTTCTTTCTCTTAAAGGCTAGTCAATATTCCTTGAGAGAGGAGAAAAAAAACCAAAACAAACATGAAAGAAAGGAGTGGGGACAGCTGATCCTCTAAAAAAATATTTCCCCAATGGTGAAAACTTACCCAGAATCTAACAGCACAAGTCAGATGCCGGCTGAGTGAAAAGACGAGCTTTTTAAATCAAAGAGAAACTGAAACTTGTTTATGCTTTTGAGAATGAGGGAATCCTTGGAGTTTTCTGAGGGCAGTTCAGAGTAAATAGAGTAATAGTCTGTCAGGTAAAATGGGAGTTTTCAGCTGAAAAATGCTTTCTTTGCTTTAGGGCTTAGCTGCCATTTTCCAGTGAGGCTTGTTTCAGCAGAGGCAGGCTCCTCAGTTTGGGAAATGCTCAAGCTGGGAGAGTGCTGCCAGCCAGGATCCAGGGCTGGGTTGCTGCTGCTGGGTCTGCATGCCAGGGCTCTCCCACAGGAGCCGGGCTACACTGGCTGAATCTTAACATCCCAGGTCGCAGGCACACACAGCAAGCTTTAACTCTTCAGTACTTGGAGAGATTTTAAAGCATGGTAACATAGAGTATTACAAAAGTAACATGGAGTATTACAAATTGTATGCTTTCTTCATTGCTTACACATGACAAGAACAGATAATTTGATGAGGTACAACTCAGCTTTTCTGTTTGTTTCTGGTCTTTTTTGAATGTGAGCAAGTTTGATAAGAAATAGGGGGAAGAAAGGTATAATTTAGGCAAAGGAAATCCCTGAAGTATGTTCAGTAGATCTGTTCATTAAGAAAAGCAGTGACAATTAGATATTTTGGTTAGTATAGAAAACCATTTTGCAGTTATGGGATTAGAACAGAGTACTCATTTCCCAAGCTAAATCCATATATGTTGTGTCCTGGATTTGTTGTAGGGCACGAAAACCAAAGTGGTTAAGATGCTCTAATCAATGAGCACAACAGATTTTCCTTGTGGACTTTACAGTATTATTGAGAATCATGTTGTTTTAAATTTAGCTATCCATGCTAAATATTGGGAACTACATAAAAGAAATCTATTATTAAAGAGCAAGGTCAGCATGCTGTCTTGGCCAGCCATCCATTCTTCTCCCATAGGCACTGCCTCAGGATTTTAATTTCTTATTCCATGAGGGGCTGGAAGCTTTTCTTTCAGGCACATCTCTTTGTTTCCAGAAGGAAAAGGCAGAATTTAGTCCCTGCTGTAAGCTGATTGTCAAGAAACAACACTGTCCAGCTAATAGTGGATGGGATTAACTGCAGAGAAAGGGGAGGCTGGAGTGAAAAGGCCAGCAAGAAGCCCACAGCCCCAGCTCTAGCCAGATGAAATTCCTGAGCCATTGCCTAGAGAAAGGAAAAATCCATCTGGCACCTACCCAAGTTAGTCAGGGTAGGAAGAGTCATGCTTGGTTGCCTTTTAACAAAAGTGGGAAAGAAAAACCAGAAGTTCCTCCTTCTTCCCCCCATTTACTCCGAATATTGACTCAAGGTTTCAGATTGGCATGCTGCTGTATGAGGTAAGGAGGGTTTGATGGGTTAAGGAAATTAAACATCAGGTTGCTTTCCAGATAATTTGTTTATGGAGATGATGCGAGTACCACCCACTGCTATGGGATTATATGTAAAGCAAACAAATAACCAAACAAAACATAAATATCCTGAAAAAAAAATTCACTTGCAGTCCTACACCCAGTCGAATCCATGCTTTTCCTGCAGTAAAATCACGATCTTTTCATCTTTGAAATGAAGAAATCTGTTCCTAGTAGTTCTGCTCTGAGAGGATAAATTTGTGAATGCAGTAGGAGCTAAATTATAAGTCCTAGTGCTTGGAAGCTATTATGTAAAAGACTCAAAATAAAACATGCTTGCTATTGGATTTAATGCAAACTCACCTACGGGCAGTTATCTTTAATCATTGACAAAAAGGGGCAGAGAAAACTCTGAAAATACATCTACAATGGAAACATGAAATGCAAAATGTTCTCTTATGAGCAAAAGGCATTTGGGGAGGCTATGGGAAAGCTGTGGTGAGCCAGAGCTACAGGTAATGCTTTGTTTGAAGTCGTGTCACTGTGCTCTGCTGTTCCAGCACTAGAGGCAGAGTCAGGACAAATGGCACATGTGGGGCACTCAGATAGGGCAGTGGGGATGCAGCCAGGTTAGCTTCAGAATTATGGCACTGGAATGTGGGAAAGATTTCATACCTACTAGACTGACATTGGAAAGTATTGAGACTACTTGTGATCAGATGTGGCCAATAAGTTTGGCTGTTGTAGATGAGTTAAATGTAAATATGCATATTGGTATCCATTGAAGGCCATAGCAGTTTTGGTTTCAGAAAGTGAGGCTTAAATTCATTTTTTTTAAAGGTGCCTGACCTGCTTACTGTGCCCCAGTGTCAAGCAAAACCATTCCCTATTAGTGCCTCAGCAGCAGAAGAAAATACCTCTCAGTCCATTTAAAATCACAGTGCCTTCAAAAAATGACTGAATTAGGGAGAAATAGCTTTGCTCATTCTGTCTCTTGCCTTTTTGTCTCTCCTGCTGTCTCCTTATTCCTAGCAGAGTGGAGGGAGAGGAAGAAGTGCACTTCCCCCTGTGCTTTTCCTGGCTCTTCCTTCACCCTCTTGTGTGCAAAGCAGCAGAGGGAGAGGGAAAGCACTTCCTTCATTCTGGCCAAGGATTGGGGATGTGCA